ATTGCATGAGGTCACCCTTCTTCCTCTAAAGTCTCCCATAATAATTTAAAAAGAGGTTTATAGTTGCAATTGAGGTTGATTTGTGTGTTTAAGCAACAATCAGGGTTTATTTTCATTTCTTTGGATATCTCTAGATCTTCCAAGAGATTCATGAGTCTAAAGTTTTTATTGGGAATGTTGTGTAAAATTTTACTGTTTTCAGAAGGAGAAAAAGAATGATTATTAAATTTAATGTGATATCCAAAGTTTGATTTATCCTGGGTTATTGAGGTGTTCTTTGATTCTTTGATTCAGAGTTCTCATTGTTCTACCTACATAAGTCATATTACAGTCACCACAGGACAGCTTGTAAATACCACTTCTGTTTAGTTTGTCAACTTTGTCTTTGGTCTTGCTGAAGATGGACTTGATGTTATATTTGGTTTTAAAGGAGATGTTTAAGTCATTAATTTTATTAACAAGTACTCTTGAAATTTTTTCTGAAATTGGTCCTAAGTAAGTTAAGGATCTATATATGGAAGTAGTGTTGGATTTGTTATCAACATTAAAAGCTTGGTTTAGTCTCTTTTTGAGTATAGATTTTCTAATGACTTTATCAACAGTAGTAGAAGGAAAACCATTGTTGTTTGCTATCTGTTTAATGATGGAGATTTCTTTATTGTAATTTTCTTGAGACATAGGGATATTAAGAAGTCTGTGGACATAACATTGAATAGCTGCCATCTTGTGTTGAAAAGGATGATTTGATGATGTTGGTATCATATGGTCAGTTTGAGTAGGTTTTCTGAATATTGAAAATTCTAGTGTAGGCAAAGAAGAAAAGGAGGAAGTATTCTTTTTGATAGTTAGGTCTAAAAAATTGATAATGTTGTTGCTTTCTACTTCTAAGGTAAAATTAATTGCAGGATGTAGATTATTAATTATTGACAAAATATTGTGAGGTTCTGAAGGTGGGCCTTCTATAAAGGCTAAAATGTCATCCACATATCTGTACCATAGGATTATTTGTGGTTGAGAATGAACAAAGTTAGTTTCGAGAGAGTCTAGAAAAAGATCTGCAAGTAGAGGAGATAAAGGATTTCCCATTGCTAAACCCTCTGGTTGTCTATAAATTTTATCGTTAAAGATAAAGAAATCTTGGGAAAGACAAAATTGGAGTAGAGAAGTAATTTGTGAACATTTATTTTGGTCAATGTTTTTTCTTTGTAGAAGGTTATTGATGATTGGAATGGTGTCTAATCTGGGAACATTGGTGAACAGATTTGTTACATCGAAGGAGACCATAGTGAAGTTATTCGGAAGAGTATGTGAAGAAATTTTGGAGATTAAATCTAAAGTGTTGGCAATAGTATATTTGGGAGTGTAATTAAGTAGATCTAGTAGAAGAGTGTTGATAAATTTTGCTAGTGAAGCTAGTGGGGTATTGACAAAACTAACTACAGGTCTTATTGGAACATTAGCTTTATGAATTTTTAGGGAGACCATAAAGTCTTGGTATTAAAGGATTGCTAGAAATGAAAGTTTTGGGGTTAGTTCCAAGTTCTTGAAACAAATTAGGGAACTTGGAACTAACCCCAAAACTTTCATTTCTAGCAATCCTGTCAATGTATGTTCAATCTAGCAGATTGAACATACATTGACCTTGAGCAATGACTTGAGTGAATTTACAAATTAATGTCATTCTGTATGATGTGATGAACACATAAAATTTAATTTAAAAACTTAATTTTTAGAAAGTCTTTGTTGACTAGTAGTAATTCCAAACTACTAAATAATTTTGTAAGAATTTAAAAAAACAATCTCTATTTCCTATATATGACATTTGTCACCTGTCACTTTTGAAAAATCGTTTAAAAGGACCGACATTTGATTTCACTAGTTCTATTCAGTCTACGTCCTCACATCAATAGATGGTCGGGTCTTAAACCCGTACCATGACAAAAATTTTTTCAATTTTTTAACGTGTTTGTGAAGTCCAGTGTCGACTTTTTATATGTTTTTTTATATGTTTTAAGAATTCCAACTTCTACAAAAAATCATAATTTTGAAACTTAAGGAAATGAGATCTCTCCTTTGTAGTGGTATTTAAAAATTGACGTAAGTTAAAAATTTCAATCTTTACCAATTAGTACTTACTAGAACATTTTATTGTAGCATAGCTCTGATGATGGCTTTGTAAAGCCGAAAGCGCTCAGCTAGGAATTGCCTAAAATATACACACTTCAAAAATACTTTTTTGCATTTTCTTTCTACTTATAAAGGAATTATAAATAACTTCTTTGATCATTTGGAGGTAGAGCTACAAGGCATTTCTGTATGTAATATTTAGAATTGTGATGAAACTAATCTTGTCGATTACCCAGAACAAACGAAAATAATATCTAAAAGAGGAACAAAGTATCCTGAACGTATTAGAACCTCATCTTAACAATATACTTCTTTAATGGTATGTGGAAATGCCTACGGTAAATTAGCTCCACTTTATATTTATTACAAATTTCAAAAATATAGACCGAAAAACAGCCTCCACATGAACGATATAATAAGACGGCTTTGGAATGGTTTGATTATCAAGTTTTTGAGGATTGGTTTCTACACAACTACTTTTAATAATAAAACGACCAGAAGGGCGAAAGGCAATTATAGGCAATTATCTTAGTTTACATTTAAAGTAACAAGTCATTCAAGGATGTGAAACTAATGATATTGGTTTTATGGAATAATTATCACCTCTTCTTCTTCTTCAGCCTTAAATAATCCAACTTTGGACATAGGCCTCCCCCAAATCAATCCAGTGTTTTCTATTTTGCGCCACTTGTTTCCAGTTGTGTCCTCCTATCTTTTTGTCATCAGCTCATCTCATTTGTGGTCTTCCCCTGCTTCTCTTTCCTAACCATGGTCTCCATTGTTGTATTTCGTGGTTAAGGCATTATCACCTAATACCACACAATTGCTGCAGCCACTAGATTAGACCTGGCCTTTTTCCTCCCTATGAAGGAGAAGTGGCGGAAGATCTTAAACACATGGAAGATAAGTATTCACGATAGCAGACTTTCTTTTTTACCGAAAAATTAGTTTCCTAGACTTTTTAAAAATCGAATGAACCAATGTAAAATCTAATATCCGGATTTAGAAAGACTTGAATTTTTCCTTTAGATCGCCAACAAGTATAAGATCGTTTATGTAACCATTTTATAGTTACAGCAGGTGTACAATATCTAAGATTATTATCAATAGATTTATTGAAGATCTAACCAATATGAGGACCGAAACTACCAAAAGGAGGCAGATAAGAAGAAAAAACATTTCAGTGCGCTACTAGGAAAAGGTATGAGATGATAAGTCTCAGCCTGAAACCTCTAGCAACCAACAAAAAAACGCCAAAGAAATAATTCTGATGACTCAAATACTGTTACTAAGGATACATAAGAACTTGAACACATGTAAAGTGACGATAGTTCATGGGATGAACATATTTCTAGTGTTGAAAACAAACATTCTTCAGAAAGTACCCAAAGAAGTGGATAAGTTAGTGGAAAAGCACACATTCGTAAAATTTGAAGGAAAATATTTTCCTGGCCAAATCACTAATTTTTCCATAACAGGAGCAATAGTTACTAGTCATGTCGTCAAAAATTTTACCTTTAAAAATCATAAGAATGAATTATTCACTTTGTCAATTGTTTTATATTCCCTTCATTGTTTAATTTAATTTAATTTCTCATTTTTTAAAAAATTGTTACTATGTAAAAGGTTTAATAAAATAATTGTTTCAATCATATGAATTTTGTTTGCAAAAATTATCTACTAATACATTTAATAATCACTGTTTAAGACTTTTTAACACTAAGACTATTTAAGACTTTTTGAATAATGTTTGAATTTACAGAAGTTTTTGTAAAATTTTTTCATTTTACGCCCATCTCTAAAACATACGTTTATTTCGAAAACGGTGTCCTTTTTTTATTTGAAACAGGAATACCTTTTTTGTGTAGCATTAAATGTTATTTCCTGTTTTTGTTTCCTAGGTTGTTTATACAGGGCGGACAAAAAAATATGACCACAATAATGAACCAATGTTATAGTAGGTGGCGTCACCTAGGGTCAATGGTAAAACTAATATTATTTTCATACTAAGCATACTAAATTATAGCAAATACCAAATTTCAGTTAAATCGGTTGAATAGTTTTTAATATGTCCCTAAAAATAATATAAAAAAAATATTAATAAATTACTCTATAGAACGAAAACTAGCAACATTTTGCCTAAGCAATTTGAACTGAAACGCTTTATGTTGATGTCAGCTATAACCCATTAGCTAATGTCCAATTAGTTATGGGACACCCTGTATATGTATATATTTTTCCTATAAATATCACAGAAAAATTTACGTTTATCAAAGATATCTTTATGTGTGGAACAACTTTGTTTTGTCATTTTCTTGATATCCATACAACATATAACGAATTATAGTTTTCACTGTACATACAGGAAAGATGGCGTTTTCAGGTTGTATTTTTAATATTATAATAAAACGAAATTGTATGTACTATATCATCACAAACCCTAAAAAAGTGTCACAAAGTAGTGTCAGGTAATTGTATATTTTATTATATATGATAAAAATCGTTGTCATGACTAAATACAGAAAATAAATAAAAAATATGGTCTTAAATAAATACAATTAGGATTTTTAAGCCCTTTTGTACCTATAACTTATGGGAATGTAATTTTTCGGGGTCACTATTTATACATAAAATGTAGTGTATACTATATGTAATCGATACTGTTAAAAGTTTACAATGCAAAATCAACTAACCTTAACCCTTGTCGACAATAGCCAACTCTTTCGTTCGTTATTTCTCAACCAGAACTTCCAAAAATCAACCTTCAACCTTGACATTCCACTACATAATTCCACTTCCCGTTTCCCCATAACACCCAGCAAACAATATAACAATCAAAATAATAATAATAAAAAAATTATAAAGGAGCTCACCTTCAGTCGAATCAAGATCCTGGTCGGAACCGGAGGTCCGTCTTTTGTGGCCCAATCTCAAAAGACTGGTGACAGAAAACTGACGAGAGTTCGTCGAACAATGGCTCCGGCTATTGTAATCCTGATCTGTACTAAATTCTGTCACATGTCCGTCAAATGTGTACATTTTTAACTGAATTGTTCTCACAACTATATTTTGGCACCTTTATTTTTTTTTCCTTTTAAGACGCAGTCATTTTCAATGGGATCCCTTATCTGAAATAAATTGAATTCCTATTTTCAACTTATTGATGTGATGCGGTTACATTAGATCTATAATCCAGTGAATCTAATAGCATAATACTCCACAGATATAAACGTACGTATATTAAATTTTAAACTTTTGAACATTCAATGAAAGCAGACAATATTATGCAAAGAAAATTTAGGAAAAAACATAAAATATTATTAAAAAAAAAAACAGTACGTAAAATGAATAGTTCAAATTCTGGAGCGTTTGCTTATACTAGTTTTATCTATTATTTCTTATATTATAGAAATATAAACCGAAAAAATCTTAATTAAGATGGCTATGAAATATTTAATATATTTATACAGCTTGTTAGCAGTTTAGTTATCTCTCAGAAAGACGTGATATTGTCAACATCATCATCATCAATTAGCCTATATTTGTCCACTGCTGAACGTAGGCCACCCGTAAAATTTTCCACCTATTTCTATCTTGAGCTTCTTGCATCCAGTTTGTGGTGATGCACTTGATATCTATCTAGTCGGTGGTCGTCCTCTGCTTCGATATGCCTCTTGCCTTGGTCGCCATTCCAGAATCTTTCTGTTCCATCTATCATCCGTTAATCTGATAATATGTTCGGCCCAAGCCCATTTAGCCATGGATATTTTTTCAACTGCATCTGTGACTCTTGTTCTTCTTCTTATTTCTAGGTTTGGTACTTGATCTATACCTAAGATTGATCTTTCCATAGCGCGTTGTGTAACTCTTATTTTATCTATTGTTCTTTTTAAACAAACTGGGATAATAGACTTGAAAATGTTATTCAATCTACTAAAGGCAGCCCATGTGAGACCTATCCTTCTTTGTATTTCAGTTTTCTGATTATCTCGGCCTAAACGAATCTCATGCCCTAGATATTTGTAAGCTATTACTTGGTTGATGCTATGGCTCTCAATCAGAATTTTACCGCTGACTACAAGGTTGGTCATAAATTTTATCTTTGAGGTGTTAATTTTAAGACCATTTATTTTTGACACTTTATAGAACGTGTTCAGCATTTTTGTAGCTTTATCAACTCTATCAGATATTAAAACGATATCATCAGCAAATCTTAGGTGGTTCAGATCTTCCCCATTTATATTAATTCCCATATTATCCTCTCGTTCCATTTGCTTGAACATATATTCAAGAACAGCTGTAAACAATTTAGAGGAGATAGTATCACCCTGTCTAATTCCACGTTCTATCCGAAACTTCTTGGTATCTTCATGAAGTCGGACACAAGCTGTACCAGTTTCGTAAATACTTTTAATCAAGGCAATATATCGCTAGTCAATGCGGCAGTCAGCCAATGCTCGAAGCATTTTATGATGATCTATAGTAGCTAACGTCTTTTCATAATCTACGAATACAAGAAAGATATTCTTGTTATACTCTTTAGCTATATACTATACTGTAAACTTTTCTATTAGCTAATTGATGGATTCGACCGTTACTTGATGGAAATTCATTTTATGTAACAATAAAACACTGAAAACTTTGTTTTCAAACTTCCACAAAATTTATTTTAAATATTATCACTACAGCTGTTTCGGCTGATTGCCTTTCTCAAGTGATCTATTTTGGCTTGGGTTTACAAATTTATAGTCTCTAATGAAATAGGTTGAGGAGGGTAGAACTGTTTGTCTCAAGTTGGTCATTCAGAATTATATCTGTGTTTTTTAATTTGTTGATTTCCATAGATTCTAACAAAGATAGCTTAAGGCCTTTATTTTGAATGTGAAGAATTTTAAATTTGTCATTAAAAGAATGATTATGATCTAGAAGGTGAAGTGCGTATGTCGAATCTGTTTTTCTATTCTTGAAAGCCCTTTTATGTTCTGCTATTCGTTTATCAAAGTTTCTACCAGTTTGACCGATGTAAGTTTTTGGGCAGTCGCCACATTGAAGTTTGTAAACACCACTATTTAAGTGTTTTTTATTTTGGCTCTTGTTATTGTTAATATATTTGCCTAGGTTGTTATTTGTTCGGAAAGCTGGTGTTATTCCTTTCTTTTTTATGTGTTTGGCAACTTTTGTTGTTATTTTGCCTGTATATGTAATCGAGCAGAAGGTACTGGGTTTTTTCTCTGGTGGTGAAAATACTAATTTTTGGGCTTTCTTGTGTAGTTTTTGATTTAACATTTTATTAATTGTTTGTTCGTTCTACCCATACTGACACGACTATACACAATTCGTCATCCCATCCAACACAACATAAACTGGCAGCTTATCATAGTATGTTACATAGATTAACAGAAATTCCGATGTCAAAATACAACTTTGAGACAGAATTAAATATAATTAAGCAGATAGCAGTAAACAACGGATACAACGAACAAACAATTAATAAAATGTTAAATCAAAAACTACACAAGAAAGCCCTGAAATTAGTATTTCCACCACCAGAGAAAAAACCCAGTACCTTCTGCTCGATTACATATACAGGCAAAATAACAACAAAAATTGCCAAACACATAAAAAAGAAAGGAATAACACCAGCTTTCCGAACAAATAACAACCTAGGCAAATATATTAAAAATAACAAGAGCCAAAATAGAAAACACTTAAATAGTGGTGTGTACAAACTTCAATGTGGCGACTGCCCAAAAACTTACATCGGTCAAACTGGTAGAAACTTTGATAAACGAATAGCAGAACATAAAAGGGCTTACAAGAATAGAAAAACAGATTCGACATACGCACTTCACCTTCTAGATCATAATCATTCTTTTAATGACAAATTTAAAATTCTTCACATTCAAAATAAAGGCCTTAAGCTATCTTTGTTAGAATCTATGGAAATCAACAAATTAAAAAACACAGATATAATTCTCAATGACCAACTTGAGATAAACAGTTCTCCCCTCCTCAACCTATTTCATTAGAGACTATAAATTTGTAAACCCAAGCCAAAATAGATCACTTGAGAAAGGCAATCAGCCGAAACAGCTGTAGTGATAATATTTAAAATAAATTTTGTGGAAGTTTGAAAACAAAGTTTTCAGTGTTTTATTGTTTTCTATTAGCGTTTTTATAACTAGTAGATGATCATTTGTTCCGTATCTGGAGTGGAACCCAGCCTGTGCATAAGGTTGGTAACTATCCAGTTTGTTCACAAGCCGTTTTGTTATTATCTTCATGAATAGTTTCTATGTATAGGAGAGCAAACTAATAGGACTGTAGTTTTTTAGGTGTGAAATGTCACCTTTTTTGTGCATTATGGTTATTATTGCATTGCCACTGGGAGGGGGTTACGATTCTTGTCAAACAAGCATTGAACATCCTTTTCAACACATTTACTAACGTATCTCCTCCATCTTTGATTTGTTCAATGACTATCCCATCTTCTCCGGCTAATTTATTGTTTTTCATCTCCGAGAGAGCTGATTCTATTTCCTCTGTTGTGATATCTGGGATGTCTTCTGAGCCTACTTTTTGACCTTTTGGTATTTGATTTTGATCAGGATCTAGAAGTTCTTCTCGATACAATTCTGAGTAAAAATCCAGTTTTAAAAATATCTTCCTTATTTGTTGTAGTTTCTTCTTTTTTATTTACAAGTTTACAAATATTTTTCGATCCTTCAGTCATTTGTCGGCGCAGAACTTTTAAACTTTAATTTTTATCAATGGCTTGAGTTATGTATTCAGTGTTGCAATTTCTGACATCTTTTTGAATGGATTTTGTGATATCTTTGTTTAACTGTCTAAGTGTTACAAAATTATCTACGTATTTGTATTTCAATTCTCTTCTTTTGTTTATAAGATATTTAGTAGCTTGTATGAGTTTATCCATCTTGTTTTTTCCCTTTTCCTTATATTTTCTATGAACGTTTCGAATAGCACTATTTATTCGCATGTTTTCGCAAACAGTAATTCTATTAATTACTGTAACATCTTAGACAATATTTTTTCTATTTGTGATGATAAAATCAAATTGGTTTTTTGTCATGCCATCTGGACTAGCCCACGTCCGCTTACGTTGTTAATTCTTTTTGAAAAATGTGTTCATCACATAGAGCCGATGATGCAATAAAAAAATCTATATTTTATCTAATACTATATTTTCACCGTTTTTGGTTATAAACGCAATATTTTTTAAGGTTTTTTAAAATTAAATTAAAATAGTGTTGTTGGCCAAAAAACAAAATTATCGAATGTTATTTTGGCATAGCGTGAAAGTGTTTGAGGCTTTGAATAGTGGTAGTATTCGATTTCGGAATGCATGGCTAATTTGGGAGGAATACAATGATACAGTTAGAATACTTTTAACAAAATATTTTGACAAATTGTGGCCAATTATTCAGAGAAATCGTTAACATTGGTTGAAAATCTGTAAGTAGTCGTTTTCTAAACCTAATGCTCACTGTTCAACATGTTGTAAACCTGTAATGGTATAAACGCCACATGTTCACACATTATTTTTCAATTAGTTTTGAGTTTATTAATTTATTAATTTTCTCTTTTATTTTACTAGTTTTATTTTAAAAATCGTTGGCGCTCAATCTTTTGTTTACTATATATTCTGCCTAATTCGAATTTTAATTTGCACCGAGTTTCTGTTATATACCCCGTACTTATGCCATGTACATATCTAAAATATTAATGACGTCTATGCCCCGATTTCTAAGCGACAAAATAGAATTGTCAGTTGGCAACTTTTGACTTCTGTCATGTCAGTTTTAGTTTGGTGGAAAAGTGGGAAAAATGTTTTTATACATATCCCTCATCTATAAAAAGACATGTTTCGTTTTAAAATTTATTTATATTCAGTGTCTTTTTCGTAATTTTTCATATTACTCCGGTCGTCAGAGACAAAAATGTCACTGAACCTCTAAAAATCATACGAACAAGCTGAATTTTACCGAGCATATTAATTTTGGGATCCCAATATATAAGTAAACAAGTTTACCACTTTTACCGCCAGGCTTCACCCTAAAACTACCAAAATTAATTTACCAAGAATCTGTACCGGGTTTCTCATTATATTTTGAC